TTTTTTTTTTAAGGGGAAATTTAAAAGTGGAAGGAAAAATCAGATTCTATTAATCTTTAAATAGTTGATTGATCTCATTAATGATAGAATGATTAGTTTATTGTGGCTTGCAATTGGCATCGTTAGTGCACTTACAGCAGATGATGTCTTGAACAAAACTAGTTATGTTGTTGCTATGACATCAGATAATAACAATTATGTTTATTATATTGTTAAATCAGTTGTTGATGGTATAGAAACAAATACATTATATCAAACAAGTGTTCAAAATGAAGGGAAATATTTCATTGAACTTGCTCAAGGAGTTGGAAATGAATTATATTACAGTGTTGCTCATCATTCCATATTTTACACTAAATGTGATGGTATTTGTTCATTATATTCACTCGATTCAAATATGCAAGAGTATCAAGTAACTAAGGACATTGCCGTTTCATTACCTGTTATTATTAAAGAACATCTTTATTTTGTTTCACCTATATTCTTTGGAATGACTGTTCAAGACTCATTAGATGTCCAAAAGAAATTAGCAAATAGAAAACAAACTTCTCATCATGTTTTTACACAAACACCATTTGGAGAAGGGTCATCTTATGTTACAACAAATGATGATGGTACTCCACAATATAAACATTTAATTTCAACACCAATTACTGTAGATGAAAATGGAAGAATTAATGTTGGACAATACACAGATGTTTCAAATGAAGTAGGAAATGTTATTTCATATGATATTAGTGATGATAAATCAATAGTTGTTTTTGAGGCTAAGTCAACAGCATCAGCAAGTGATAAAAAGAATTATTTGAAATCATCAATCTATACAATTTCTGTTGGATCTGATCAAGCAACATGTATTTCATGTAATTATCCTGGAAATCAAATTGAACCAAAAGCTACAAAAACAGGAAAGTATATTGTCTTTATGAGAACTACAAATACACTTGAGAAAAATCCAGCTAAGTACTTTGTTTTATATGATCTTGAAGATGGGTCATATAGAGCTGATGTTACTCTTAATGAATTTACTACAGAAAAGTATTTAATTGGTAAACATAATAATGAGGAAGCAATTACAGTATTTGTAATCAATAATAGAAGAGAGGCATTAGCTGTAAGAAAAGCTGTATATTCATTTGAATCAAAGGCATGGGATATTGAAGAGGTTGTTGTTGAAGGAGCTGTAGAAATGATGGCTGAAGTTCCATGTCAAGATGAGAGTTCATGTTTATTCATTGCACAATCATTCCAATACCAACCAAGTGAAATTTATTATTTTGATGAATCAATGAAACTAACCAAATTAACCAAATTAAATGATTATACTTCTTATAACCTTCAAAAACCAATTCTTGTTAATCCAATGGGATCATTACATGACAGAATTCAATCATTACTTTATCTTCCATCAAATAATGAAAAGGCACCAATTCTTTTAGTTGTTCATGATGAAGAAGAAGGAACTGTTATTGATGGATTTAATAAAATTATGAATCCATATGTTTATACAAATGAAGGATATGCTGTTGTAATGATTAACTCACATGTCAGTAAAGGATTTGGAGAACGTATGAGAGTTAAAGGGTCAAATGATATTAATGTTATTATTGAGGACATTCAAGCTGTTATCAATGAATTAGAAAAATATCCAGTAGACACTTCTAAAATTGCAGTTGTTGGAGTTTTTGGAGCATCAAAAATTGTTACTGCCTTATTAGATGCTAAATTACCTATTGTTTTAGCTGCAGTTCATGCACCAATTCTTTCAATTCGATCACAATATTATACTGATGCCAAATATACATTAGAATATACATTTGAAGGAGCAGATTATGATAATTCTTATTGGTATAGTCATAATGATGCTATGAAAAATGTAGCATCATACAATGTTCCAACACTTATTTCATATGGTGATCTTGATTTTGTTGTTGATAAATCACAACCAATTTCATTATTCCAAGCATTACAACGTAGAGGAATCAAGTCTAGACTTCTTAGATTCCCATATTCGACAAATGTATTAACGAAGAATGAAGATATTAAAGTGTTCTATGAACAATACTTACGATGGTTTAATGAGAATATGAAGAATTAAAGTAATGAACAATTTAATTAAATTTTTTTAAAACAAAGAAAAGTAATTTTTAAAATTTAAAAATCAAAATAAAAATTAAAAAAAAAAGAAAAATAACTAAAAAAAAAAGAAAGAACTTGTTATTATATTTTATTGAATATGTTTGCATTACTTCTTTTTATTGCTTGTATAAATGCACAACCATTTATGAATATGTATGGACAACAACTCCCATATGCAGAAGAACAAGATGCCTTCAGAGCTGAACAAGTACTTCATGGATTAAATATGAAATATATGCAACTTCGTGATGAACTTTATAGAACAACATTTAGATTAAGAGGAACTCAAAGAAGAAGATATTTCTCATCATCTCCAATTGAACTTTATGGATCAGAACACACAGTCCAATTCCTCAAACTTAAAGAATTTAGATTACGTAGAACTATTGCTATCATTCTCAAACAAATGGCTACAGTTCTTACTTCAATTAATAAAAATGATAGAAATATGGTTGTTATGCATTTAGGTCTTCCAATGTCAACTATTAATGCTATGAAACAAGCTATCAAAGCTAAAGTACCAGAAGTTCCTCAAGACATTCCATTAGTTGGACCTCAAACTCCATTTGGGTTTAGACCATATTATTAAATGTTATTGAACCGTTTAAATCATTTAGTTAAATTTTAGTTTTTATTTTATTAAGAAGAAGATAAGAGAATAATAATAAAAGAAATATAAACAATAATGTAGAATGACTAAAAAAACCAATTAACTATTTGTAATTGAAGTTCTTTTCATTTTATTTTGTTTAGCAGTATTAATTGCTTTTCTAAGTTGTTCAGATAAAAATTCAGTATCTTTTAATTTATTGCATGTAATTTCAATTGTAGTATTTGTTGAAGGCTTAAAGAATTGAATTTTTTCATTAACTATTTCAAGGACTTTCCAATCACATAAAGCATATACCTCTTTTATTTTCCATTTTTCTTTTTCAGTTGATTTTGCAGTATTTCTTGTTAATACAGCAATATCACTAAAAATAACCATTGTCCAAACTGTAGCATTTTTCTTTTCACTAACTAAAACTTGTCCCATTTCAGCAAAATAATCACGTTGTGGATTAGGATAATCAGATAAATCAATTCTTTTATTCCATAAATCCATTGCTGTTTTATTTTCAAATTTTCTTTTATTTTCATTAATTTCATTAGCAATACTTCTAATCTTACTTAAACATGTTTTTATCTTTTTAGTTTCATCTAAATATTCTGGAAGACATTTAAGTAATGACTCTAATAACAAAACATAACGTGGAATTCTTTGAATTGGTTGAATTAAGAAACTTGGAACATAATGTCCTTTAGAACCTAATTCTTTAACAGCACATCCAACATCTACATTTGTTCTTGATAATTCATTAAATTTAGCCATTCCAATATCAACATTATTAGCATATTGACAATATAAATCAAGCATTGATGGTGTGAAATATTTTAATAATATATCAGAAAAAGTAATAAACTCAAGTTTTTCTTCATTACAACGAGATAAACATTTTTCTAATTCATTAGAAAATTTATGATGATATTTCTCTATGTCAATAATATTACCAAATACAATAGATGTATTTTCTTTTAAAACATTTCCTAATCTTTTCATTACTACACGACAACAAATACCCATTTGATTTGTATAACTAGTTTCAGTTTGAATAAATTCTTCTGTAATTTGTCTAGCTTTTGTTTTCTTAGAATTATATTCTGCCATTCTTTGAATATCAGTAGGAGTATATTCAATTTCTTGTGTTTGTTTTTTCATTTCATTAAATGTTTTAACACAAACAATCCATAATGCTTTTCCTTTTGGTTGAAGTTCAATAGGATTAATTTGAAGAACAACTTTATCAACTTTAGTTAATATCATTTCTTTTCTTGCTTGATCATTACTAAATAAATTTGTAATAATACCAAATAACATTGCTTGCATAACTTCTTGAAATTCTTTTACTAATAAAAGTAATTTAGATAATTTTGTTGCTAATTTCAATGAACTACATTTTTTTGCACCAACCTGATCTTGTGTAACTCTAAAAATAATAAGTAATGATGGCATTAATGTATTTGCTGTACTTTTTCCAACATATGGATATTCTAATAAATCAAGACATTCTTCAAATAATCCACAATCAATACAACTACTTGCAAAAAATTCACAACTAGATAATTGACTAGTAACATTAATTGCACGTTCTAAAGTATTTTGATTATCTGTTCTACCAATGACATCAGTTAATGTTTTCAAAAATCCTTCTTTAAATAATAATGTTTTACCATCTTGTTTATATTTTATAATTCTTAATATTATTTCTACTGCTCCTAGAAGTTCTTCATTTTGTGAATTTTCAAGTGATTGTTTTACCATAGAAAGTCCATCATTATCAAGATAAATTGATATACTTTCTGGTGAAACTAATACTTTTGTCATAAATGCTATAATACTTTGTCGATTATTTGGAAATACAGATGCATCATTAATTAAAATTGGAATAAATTGATGTGCTAAATCAGCTCTTTTAGTTGTTTCAATGAATGAGTCAAGAATAATTAAACAATTATTAAAAATTAATTCATTTTCGCAATTTAATAAAACTTTTAATGAGTCTAATATTCTTTTATCATATTTTAAGAATAAAATAATATATTCAGCTTTTTTAGATAAAGCATTAACAATATATAATGCTGTTGTTAATGATGATGAATCATCTGATTCAAGAAATTGTGTGTATAATCTTGGATTAATTTGTATTAATATTTCACTAAATTTTGGATTATATAACCTATTTAGTATAAATGAAAGTCCTGTTTCTCTTTGCTCTGGATCTAAAATATATGAAATCACTTTGTCAGCTAATAATTTTGATTTTTCATCAAGTGTATTGTTTGGAATAATATATTTTTCTATTGACATTTCAATTTATTTTTTTAAGTTTAAGAAATATAAGTTATCTTAGAAAAAAATTGTTTTGATTTTCACACGAACTTTTCTTGTTTTTATTATTTCTTCTCTT